AGAGAGAGAGAGAGAGAGAGAGAGAGAGAGAGAGAGAGAGAGAGAGGATTATTTCATAATCACTCAAGCATAGCTTGGGCACTGGTCTGTGCTGTGCTGCAGATCACTCTTATTCAAATTGATACAAGGCTTGACTAGCTTCAAGCTGATCCTACGAGGATCCTCTTCTGTTATCTTTTGATAACAGGTATTATCAAACAGTTATGCCCAGCCCCTTGGACTCTGTTATCTTCTGTTATCTTTTGATAACAGGCCGGTTTCCGACTCAACTCAAATTCATTCTCGCTACTCAACCTAAGGGCTTAGCCCCTGTGGATTGAAATGTTTCTTTGGGGTTTTACCCGGACTTTTATTAAATGGCCATTTAAAAAGGACTGAGTGTTTTTATTTTGGAAGGTTGGAAAAGAGAGAGAGAGAGAGAGAGAGAGAGAGAGAGAGAGAGAGAGAGAGAGAGAGAGAGAGGGGGGCGAGTATGCTGCACCTAATCCCACTGACTATCTTGCGCACGTGGTTCAAAATTTGGAAAATGGAACGAATCTTAGCGCGTTCCGTGGACAATTCATTCTCATTTTGCAAGTTTTCACCAGGCGGCCTGACACACAAGCAGACACACACACACACACATGCACCTCCCCGCTCGTTCTGAAAACTACTACCACAATAGTCGTTTGTTATTTATTTTTTGATAGAAAAATGTCGTGTCCTTTTTTCTCTTTTCTCATTTGTTTATTTTTTGTAAAAGGACAATGACTGGGTGCTCATTCCCTGACTCCAGAAAGTTGCGGCCGCTGACGCGCTGCGACTCTATTTTTCAAGCGGTGCTATGTACTGGTGGTTTACGGTTGCCGACCGTAAACGTCCTGGCCTGGTGCCCAGACACGGGGTGAAGAGGCACCCAAGTTCCTTTTGTTCCTTTTGTCTCTTGCCAGCAGAAACCGGGTAATGGCCCTGGTGCTCAGACTCATCTTATGATGTATTGATCCTTGATGTTCTATGCCCAACCTACTAAATCTTTGAGTGAAATAGCATAACTGATGCCTTCATACATAGATAGGCATCAGAGAGCCTTTCCCGAACCGTATGTGCAAGTTTCCTCGCATACAGCTCTCACGGAGGTCCTTAGTTAGCGACTGTAAGTAAGCCGGCAGAGGCTTCGCAACTGCTACCTGGATGGACGCCGTGTGAATGATGGGATGCTGGACCCGTTTTCCGACAGGTGTGGCTCCCCACCAATAGACTTATGAGTGACCAGCTGTAGGGCTAATCTGGAATGTTGCTTGTATCACTCCCTCTACCGTCTTCACCCGAATAGAACGCCCGGTCATTATCGCTGCATCTGGACCAAAAGTTGTGCCAAATACAACTGTAATGATCAGGCGCTCTATTCGGGTGAAGACCGTAGTACACCAAAACTGGTTTTTCTTTTTAAGGGAAAAAAAAAAACAAAGGAACTAAGTGCACGAGCCGCCACCTATGTATGACGAAAAAAACTCGTAAGCATACGAGGAATGGAAAAGGACACCGCAAAAATGAAAAGGACCAAAAGGTTGCCATCTTCGGATAGACACAACATGAATGGAAAAGGATGCCGCAGAAATGAAAAGCCTTTGTACTTAAGGCCAGACCACTGGCAAGTTGCAAGTTGCAACCATTTTTTTTTAATTTTTTTTCAAGACCAGACCACTGAACCTTTTCTCCCTTCACTCGAAATCTTCCCTTGGCTTGCAATTTTCCCCTTCATTGTTTGGTTCTATTGGCCAGCAGTATGTCGGTGTTCGCATCCTCCCCTTCTTCCAACAGAAGCCGACACAGACCTGAAATTAGCAGGAAACCTGAATAATTGTCGCAACCAAACATCGCTGGCTCTGCAGTGTCTTTAGACTGCCACTCTCTGATTCCATTGCTGGGGTCTTGGCTGCTATTCAATCCAAGAGGGGTCGTGGGCTGGTTCCACCGCACAGGCCACCTAAACTGTTATGCATGCTGAGTCTCTGATTCAGCGAGGCCAGACTGTGCCGGGCCCGCCGGGATGACGGTCCGTCAGGATGGAGAAGAAGGGTTGACGAAGGAGGAGGTAGAGATGGAGCTGGAAGGGACAGCGTAGCTCCGACACAGAGTCAACACGCACGTACTCCAAGATGTGCAAAAGTGAAGAATGATAAAAACAGACAACAGCTGGGGTATACCCCCAGCGGACTGACTGGACTGGACTGGCCTGGTACCGACAGTGGTATCGGGCAGGAGTGGACGGAACTGGAATAGTACACCGCCTGTGGGGTCAGGCCACGGCCTGGTCCCACAGGCCAAACTGGCAAATAGCCGAATAGGCCCCGGCTGTAGGCCAGGGCAGATGGAGGCCCGCTGCACAGACACACAACACATTCAGGGAGATAAAGATGAATGGATGGAAAGAGAGTGGCAATTTGAAGGCACAGCATAATCCTCAACCAGGAAGGTCTTCTGTACATTAATTTTTTTGTGCCACTTGTGGCAACATACGCCTCCCGAAATGCCTGATGCGAAGGTCTCGATTAAGGTCCCTCGCAATTTTTTTGAGACTTGTGAAAGCCTCCTGCCGAGGAAAGAAAATTTTGAGAGGAAGAGGAAGGGGAAGGAGATTTGAGGAAAAAGACAGGCAGAGCAGCGCGCTCAGTTTCACTTCAGCCATTGCTAAGACAGGAGAAGACTCATACGACAGAAGTAGAAGATCTTTTCACCTCTCCTAGCTGAGCAGCTCGCTCTTTTTTTTTTTCCCTATTTTTATTTTGTATTTTTAAAAGAAGAAGAAGAAAAAGAACTTAACTACACAACAACGAGAAGAAGAAGAAGAAAAAGAACTACCCAACAACGAGAAGAAGAAGAAGAAGAAAAAGAATTTTAACTACTCAACAACGAGAAGAAGAAGAAGAAGAAGAAAAAGAACTTTAACTACCCAGCAACGAGAAGAAGAACAAGAAGAAAAAGAATTTTAACTACCCAACGAGGAGAAGAAGAAGAAGAAGAAGAAGAAGAAGAAGGAAGGAGGAGATACGGCAGAAGTACTGTCTTTGAGCCGAGAAAGGAGAATAGTAGTAGTTGAGGGAGGTGAAGGACAACGGATGACCGGAGGAAGAGAGAGGCAGGGGAAATCAACAGAATCAAACCCATAACAGCAGATCACATTGCCTTACAAAGTCCCCCATGGTCTCGTTGTTCAGAAGTAATATCTTTCCCGTTTCCTGGCAGGAAATGTGACCAAGCTTTTCTTTTCCCTGTCATGGTCCTGTTTGTCGACTTCAACGAGGGGCATCCTCACAATCTTTGATTGTCATTGGACCATTGGTTCACATGGGAGACAGGTGCACATGCATAACCCCCATTTCCGGAAACGTGAACGAAATTCACGTAATTGCGCCCCGCAGATCAGTAGCTTCTTTTCCGTCTCTCATAATAGAATTCTCCATGAGCATCACTTGGAGGGGTCAACGCCAGCCACACTGGGGTATCCGCTCCATCATCTGCAGACTTATATCCTGCATGAGCAAGTCAATATATAAACAAGGGGGAAGACAGCCATAATCGCAGAGCCATCAGCCATCCATACGCCTAGTGTCCCTGCATGCAGCAGTCTGCTCAAAGTGTGGCACAGTCAACGCATTTGCCTCTTCTTAGGCCAGATTCAGACGAGGACTTTCTGGATGTATTTTAACAGCTCTTACAGTCAAAAGCCTGGATGCACCTGACCACAATCATGTCACAGATGAGTTGAAAAAGTCCCAGTGCGCATATGTCAGTATGCCCTTATTAGTAGTTATTACTGCTTTTTTTTTTATAACTACACTCACAATTTTTAAATTTTTTACATTTGCATGTTAGTACCCTCACAAACAGACAGGGGGTGAGCTGGGAGTATTAACGTGGGGATGGGTTGGGTAGGTGGCCTGTCCTGTCAGGACAACCATTGGCTGCCACTACCAGCAATCACAGTGGGTCTGGTCCTTGGCCTCTACAACACCCTGGGGCCTGGGGCTTTGGATTAAAAAAAAA